ATAGCTGGCCAATCACAGCTCACCTCGCTTTTTCAGACCGATGAGCTTTGTAAAAATTGACGCGTTTCAGAAAGGCGGGGCATAGAGGACAAACAATAATGTACAGTATGTGGAAATAATGTGTTTTTTGAACCTTAAACCGCATAAACACATTTCATTACACCAAATACACAAAATAATGTTCTTTTTAGCAACATCATATGACCCCTTTAATGCCTTTGCTGAATGAAAGTAATAATCTCTTTAAAAAAAAAAAAGTACTGGCCCAAACTTTTGAATGGTAGAGTTTAAAAGCACATTATAGTATACATTAATAACGTTTAAAAAAAAAATCTGTCAATATTCGGCCTATGATTGTTTGATAGGAATGTTGTTTTTGAAATAAAAAAGAATGTTGTTCTGGAAACATGTAGACATGACATATTTTTGACATAACTGGATAACTTAAATGTTGGAGGGTTTTCTTACCAAATGGTAAAGAATGAGTTAGGTAACTTATTTAACATAATTCTAATCTTAATCATCTGTTATTTTTAGCTTATGATACTGCATGTTATGCAATGATTGAATACTAAAAACCTGCAATACAAGCTACTAGGTTTCTTGGAACACATTTCAAAACAGTGCAGGCAAACAAATCTTCATGAGCAGTAATCAATGGGTTTAAATGATAATGTTCACTTAATGGACACTTACTCAAAGTGTGTTTTAACTGTGTATAGAATAGATGCATTAAATGTGTTTAATATGATGAATTTCTCTCTTTTACAATCCAATAATCTTCTGTCTATAAAGGGCTCACCCATGCTTATTGGGGAAATGGACTCCTCTGGCAGCTTAAACGCACACTCTTTGTTCCATCTGAGTGAGAAAATAAGAGCTAAAGCAGTGTTTCAGGTAAGTAGCAGTGTTATGCAGTATTGCATACGTTTTGAACACAATGTGGACTGACTGCATATTCTTTAATAGACTCAACAGGCACAGTTTGTCACGTGGCAGTTTGAGACGGAGTATAGAGGTAGTGACTTCACAGCAGCGGTTACTATGGCCAACCCTGACATTCTGAGGGAATCAGGTATGATCGTGTGAGTCCCTCATTAAAACAAAAGACATTCTGATTTATTGATGTCACATGAATGTGCATTAGTTACAACAAAGCACTGGCTTCCAGGCAGAACAGGTTTTTCTATGGTTGCCTTTGCATGTCATTTTGATGAATTGTTCTGTTTGCCTATTGAGGAAAATGATTACAGACTGTAAGTTATTATTTTCAAAGCTTCTTGAGTGGAACTGCATTCATTTTAAACTCCATAAGTCACCCTGTTTGTGTTAAAAATGTTTAAATCCGTTGTTTCTTGTCATTAGTGAGCAGTGTTGATGTGAAAGGTTTCACAAACTAGGGGAACTTCAGGGGGTTTATGAGTTGATAAAATGCGAATAATTAATTAAAATGTAAAAATCCTAAAAGTAATAAACTGCAACAACATAGCAATGCACTAAAAGAAATATCTTCTATTCACTAAAAACTCTCAGAACACCTTAAGAACCACACAGCAACACACTGGCATCCACACAAGCATACTATAGACAGCTTAACAACAAACTAAACACTACGAACCACATAACCCAAAAAACCACATAACTACATAACACAAAAAACTTCTGAACACCTTAACAGCTACATAGCAACACACTGACAACCCCTCAGAACGCCTTAACAAACCCATAGCAATGCAACAAATATCTTAGCATCCATACAGCAATGCACTAAAGACACTCAGAACATATTAGCAACCACACAGCAGCACACTGCAACCATTGAGAACACCCTAGCAACAGCACAACACACTAAAACACTCAAAACATTTTAACAGCTGCATATCAACACCCTGGCAACCCCTCAGAACACTATGCATAGCAATGCAAAAAAACCACCTAGAAACATCTTAGCAACACCCTGGCAACGATTGTAAACGCAGTGGCAACCGCACAGCAGCAAACTAAAACCACTCAGAACACCTTAGCAACCGCACATCCACCACTCTCCAACTCTACAACTCTAGTTAAAGGTGCTGTATGTATTTTTTGACTGGACTAAAGCATAAAAATACCATAATATGTTTGCAGATATTTAGGAAACATGCTAAGTTCACATACTTGTTTCTCCGAAAAACAACACTACAGCCAGTTATTCTACTTTGTAATGTGCGTTCCGTGTCAGAATTTCTGTTTTTTTTAAGGTCCATGTGATTCCGTGCACAGTCAGTTTACCCAGTAGTATTTCAACACCCCTGGTTGCCAGTTGGTGGAAAACACAGCGTATTGCAGCCATGGAACCCAGCAAACGAACTGGGTCCGAGATCTCAGATTCTACCAGACTTAAAAAGCCTCGGCATCCATCTAAAAAGCTCTATGACCAGAGACATATTAAAACGCGGATAAATAAGACAGTGTAAGACCTTTTCCATTGTCAATTGCACTCATTCCTGTTGCTTGTCTTTAATCTGGCAACCCGCGTGAGTGTCAAGTCTGAAGAGGAGGGGGCGAGTGAAACAACACTCTCCAATACTTTGAATTTGGACTGCAGTTCAACCGCTAGTGGTCAATATCACCTACTGCATCTTTAATGTTGTTGCTTGTTTGTGCATTTGTTTTTCTTTGTGACAGTTATCATGGTTGCACACTTTCTTCAAAGCGTATCCCCGCAGCTGGTTCTGGGGGGAGAGCTGGTATACCATCGAGGTCGAGCAGAGGAAGGGGGCATTCTTACCCTGGCAGGCCAGTACTCAGGTTAGAGTGGTTTGCTCAGCGGCCGTCTGTTTGTCATACACCAGTATAAGTTGTCCTAAACAGTTGCTTTTTCAGTGAAACTCATCCTATTTGTGTGTACAATGTTCACCTGTTTCTTAAAAGCACCTCAGACTCAAATGTCATATCTCAAATGTCTTAGGGCCAAATTGGGTTGCAACACTGAATGCTGGTAAAGGAGGTGCACATGCCAGCTACTACCACAGAGCCAACAAACAGGTATGGTGGTGTTGAAGGATATGATGGTGTTTCACAATAATAGTTTGGTAACGCCGCAGTCTGTAATTCATCTCCACAGATTCAGGTGGGAGTGGAGTTTGAGGTGAGCACTAGGACCCAGGAAACAACCTTTTCTTTTGGTTACCAGATGGAACTTCCTGAAGCTAAAATGGTCTTCAGAGGTAAGGAGGGCAGATATATACTCACTGTGCACTGTATCACAAATTGCAGTAACTACTCCAACACTGGAACTGAGAAATAATTTTTGATATCAGTTTTCACTGTTTTTTTGTTAATTCTACAGACATGACATGCAGAATAAAATATTTATATTGTGGACATATATAATTCATCACTTAATTTTACGTACATTGTGAGCATGATTTAATAATGCGGACAGGAGTTAGTAAAGCTCACAGATGATTTCACTATATGAGGTAACGAATTAGTAAAACATGCTCACGATTTGCTTAAAACGAGGGTACAAATTAGTAAATCGTGCTAATTTGAAATACATGGGAACGAATGGCCACAAAAAAAAAAAATTTTCCCGCATGCCATGTCTGGGGCTCCGTATGATTCTTAGCATCGTTGAGCCAAACAATATGTCACAAAACAGATTATAAAACACCCAGTTTCAGTCCAAATTGAATTTTTACAATGTATAGCTAAAGCATTTTGCCTTTGCAGGGCAGAATTGAACCCTTTATTTGTAAAAACCCATTTTAACCGTTTACTCAAATATTGTTTTTCATACTTCCCATCCTAGACTGTAATAGTAGCGTTCAGGAAGTAAACACCCCATTAGAATCTACATAGACAAATTATTTGTCTTAAAATGGCTGACCTTTTATTAAGAAATTTCTTTACATTTTCCATCCTTTGCATGTGCACTTTAAAAAAATACTTGTTTAGTTTGCATTCTGTGCTGAGTTGCCAGTAAGTGTTTACTACATTTAACTCCTTTGACCTAATATCAGCACAGAAAATGAAAGTTTGAAGTTTGCAGGCTTTATCTTGGCCTGGCAATAAAAATGATACTTTAAAATAGACTTGCCATGAACTTACCATGAGATTATTACGCAATAGTACAGTCTGTTTCTCTAGAATTCCCACATCTGTGAAAACAGAGTGGATTGTCACTGATTTGTAAGTAAGTTCAATTAAACAAGGGAGGAAATGTAACTGATTCTATACACCACCGTTCAAAAATCTAAGGGCTCGTAAGATTTTTTAGTGTTTTTGAAAGAAGTCTCCATGCATAGCACAATACCAACAGTAATATTAAGAAATATTTATACAATAAAAAAAAAGTTTTCTATTTCACAGTGGCAAAGTTGAATTTTCAGCATCTTCGGTGTCACATGATCTTTCAGAAATCATTCTAATATGCTGATTTGCTGCTCAAGAAACACTTCTTATTATTGGCAATGTTGAAAACAGTTGTGCTGCTTAATATTTTTGTGAAACTGTGATACTTTTTATTTACATGATTTGTGTAGAAAAAAAAGTTTAAAAAGAGCATTTATTATTATAAAAGCTTTTACTGTTACTTTTGATTTTTTTCAATTTAATGCTTCCTTGCTTAATAAGAGTATTAATTTCTCTTTTTCCATTGTTGAGTTAGTAGTAGTCTTTTAAATGCCTAATATGTGTAACAGAATGATTAAATTTAGGATTAATATTTAACTCATAATCTCTGTCAATCATTTGGATGTTTTTTTTTAGGAATGGTGGACAGCCGCTGTATCATTGGTGGGGTTCTGGAAAAGCGGCTTTACCCCCTTCCTGCCACATTGATCATGGGTGCCTTTGTCAACCACAGAGCAGACAAGTTACAGGTCGGTCTTGGGGTTAACGTTGGTTAGATGCGTGACCTAACTCAAAAGAGGCACCACTTAAGACTGGGGACTTCAGAAAACCACCTTCACGTCTGCCCAAAGACCCCAGTCTGCCACGGACTACGGAGAGAACAGGCAAGCTAACCAAAGCCCTGTTTACCAGACTGGACAATCATGCAGTTCATGGCAAGCAGGAATGAGGGCTGAAAAAAACCAGGAACGTCCCCTCTATGTTGGTACCATCATGTGTCAAGGATTTTGCTGTTTTGGTCTTATATTGGCCCCTTAAGTAACCTGAAGTAAATATTCAAAGATGATCTTACTTAAGAACAAGATGGCAACTTCTGCAACTGCTGGAGGAGACCACACAAATGAATATGTAGCTATGTCACAAAATTCCCTGTTACTTCTCTATACATTTTTTTGTAGCAAACTCCAAATATAGTTCACTCCCAAATCAATGTCAAGCTAAACATATTGAAGATTAGCCACACAATTGATCATGTATCGTCCCCTCTGTTGTCTTTCATTCAAACAAATCACACTCTTGCTCTCCTTGTTAAGCTAAACTTGAAGACTCTCCTTGAGGGTCAGACTCTGGTATAATGGCAAGTATGACGATGGAAGAAAACTCAGTGTCAGTGTGAACTGTATAAGACGCACTATACATGAGATAATACAGGACTTTTGTCTGATTTGACAAATGTCAGAGCCGTGGTGCAGTAGTGCCCGTTCTTATGAAGCATAACAGCCACTGGTTCACAGGAATGAGTCAGGCCTGCTTTATATCAACGAGATTCACACTGCAAAGTTTCAGGAGTGAGAACCACATATAAATGCGGAAGGGAATCCCCCAAATTAATGCAGCTTAAAGCCTGTTCACATCAAGGACTGTAACTGGACTTAATAAAGTGGGCAATTGTGGGTTGCGATATTTTGGTCTTATTTCTATTGTTGTGGAGAGAGACATGGCCCGCTAGATGGCCCTGGTGTGAGAAGGGTATAACTGCAGCCTGGAGATCTCCAAATGGGGGCGGGAACTCCAAAACGGGGTGGGAGCTCCAAAATAGGGCGTGGCTTCCTCCCATTGACAGACAGGCACATGACACGCATGCGCAATTTTCCCGCAATTTTAAAAACTCGTGGGTGATTCCCGTTTACATCATGAAGCAGAGGTTCAAACTCCAGTCTGAACACCACTGGCCACCTGGATGGCTGTTGGTTTTTAAACTCTCTTTCTGCAAAACAGCTTTTTGATTAATTTGACCATATAGTGATCAAATGATTTTTTTACAAAAGCCGTTTACTTGCCTATTCCTCTTTGTCCTGGTTGGGACAGAGGGTCTTGACTACAAATCTCCATGTCTGTCTGTCTTGGTCTGCCTGCTTTGCCTTTCTCAAAGACATATTGATGCTCTTCAGTTCTGCTTACATGGTTGTTCTCCAGGTTAGAGCTGGTCTTCCTCTTTTTCTCTTCCTTTGAGGGCTTCATTCCAAGGCATGGCAGGCAAGTGCATATTTATTCTCTAGAAGCCGAGCTTAATGAGTAAGCTACTGTAAATAATATAATTTCTAGATGTGTAATTTCTAGATGTAATTTTGTCTAATTATAAAGAAGACACTGATGTAAAGGTTAGTATAGGTGCATGCAAAGTTGCTGTATGATATAGTATTCCCAAAAAATGTTTCTAAAGGGAACTGTATATTGCCCCAACAAAATGCAACTTAGGAAGAACATCTCGACTGCAAGTCTACGTTATGTTTCCTTTCCGTTTCACTCCATCCCCAATAGTCTTTTATCTCTCCACTTGTAAAGGTGGCTGTAGTCAAGTCAAGTCACCTTTATTTCTATGGCACTTTAAATAATATGGATTGCTTCAAAGCAGCTTCACAGTAAAAATAGCAGAATCAGTCATTAAACCGCATAAACACATTTCATTACACCAAATACACCAAATAATGTTCTTTTTAGCAACATCATATGACCCCTTTAATTAATTTTGAAAGAAGTTCACCTCAGCTATAAGCAGTTCTGCAGAAGACAGTAATGTTTTTATTCAGCTCAAGCCAGTTCAGTGTTGATTCAGTTGTTGCAAGATGTGATTCAGCTCTAAAGCAGCTCTACAGAAGACAATAGTGCCATCATCCAGTTTAATTCAGTTTGTTTTCATCCGATGGTGTCCATGCAGTCATATCAGTAATATTACTGAACTAATAGTAACTAATATTACTTAGTTGAGTGTCTTTTAGACCTCAACTATGCAGGCCAATGGCATGGAACCCAAACTCTATCAGGTGTGTGGGTACAGGTATTTCCTGGCCAAATGAACAAACATAGTATGATATGATATTAATGGATATAAGGCTGTAGATGGTTAAATAGATGTAAGAAAAAAAGAAACCAACAACAATTCGCCAAAGCCACCGTCATGCTGATATTAAGTGCATATACTGCTAATGTAGGACATAAAGGTGTAGATTGATGAGGACGACAGGTGAGATTCCACCCTGGAGACTGGAACAACCTGTTTTCATGTTTCAGGTAACAGGGGAGGGGCTTAAGTCACACATATACCTTTAGATCAGTAAAGAGGTCTGGACTTGTTTGATATACTGCCAGTGTAAAGCTGCAGATAGTTGTTGTCTTATTCTGTGTATACTGTATAATGCTTAGACAGATAAATGTTTGTTTTTTATTCGTCTTTTTAAAATTGCTTGCAGGCATTGCTTGACATACCCTCAAGACATTCTCCGTAGTGAAAGAGTGACTTTGATAGCAGTTGTGTTTGACTTGGATTATTTGTTTAAACCCAATCTCAGTATGCTGCTGGTTTGTAAGATGGATCTGCTATCTTCCGGACTGTTGTTTTATTTACAGAAACAGAGATGACTCCAGCGTGGTGAGCATGACTTTAATCGTCCATAATTAGTAACCGAGGCTTTTACTGAACACTTATTGGTTTTATTTTAATACATTTCTCCTTTTGATATTGTAATGATTCTAATATTCTAACTGTAATCTTGCTCTGGCCCTTTAAGTCAAATATTGTTTGCACCAGACTAATTATGTTATTTTGCATATTTCTATTTATGTAATGCTGTCTTTATACATTTATTTATTTATTTCTCCAAACCTTAGGGGCAATTAAGGATAAACTTCCAGCCTTTTTAAAGGTTTGACATGATTTAATGACACTATGACCCACTTCCTAGCCTGCATGTTCACATTGCTCCAGATATGTCTGACGCCATCCCTAGGTAGTGTACATTTTTTCTGCATCTGAACTATGATTTGACTTTTTTTTTCTACTCTATACTATATAGATAGATACACATAGTCTATATTTCTATTTTTTCATAGTCTATATTCCTACTACTGCAGCATAGTTTTTATTATTATGTTTCTTACATTGTGTATGTATGTGTGTATAGTTTGTGTATGTGTGTGTATAGTTTTGGCATTCATTGTGGACAGCAAAGTAAGAATTTCATTGCTCAGGGAAACTTGTTTTCCTCACTGGGCACATGACAATAAACGCTTTGAATCCTTTGAATCCTTGAATCCTTGACAGTTGCTTAGATGTAGGGCAGATATGTAACACAAATGCTAACCTTCCTTCTTAACCTCACAATGCAAATATATAACTACTATTTTGTTGCATGCACACACCATTATTGTCAATACATGTTGGTTTGCGTATTTTGGCATTTATTCATATATATTACATTAGTTTGTTTTGAAATTAATGTCAAGTTTTCTTTTTTCTTTTTAGCAATTCTTTCTCCTCCAAAGAATCTTGACTGTGGGATTATTGGATTTTAAGGCTACAGCTGAATGGCTTCCTGGGAAAGGAAATCCTCCTGACAGCAGATATACCTTGGAGTTTATAACTGCACGAAAAATGTACATACAGACTTTATCAAAAAATAAATAAATAATAACTTTTTTATTTTGAAAAATTGTTTATTGTACTCATGATGATGTTTTTTTCGGGTAGGTCTGGAGGAAAGTGGAATCGCTCTCCACACTGCACTAACATAGCCATACTGAAATGCGAACTGACCTTCAATCTGCAACCTGAGCTTCACTGGAATTATTTTGTGAGGGTCAAGACAACACTTAAAAGGGCGAGCTCCAACTGGACAACTACATTAAAGTCTTTCCAGCCATATGGAGACAGTAAGTTCAAATATATTATATAAGACGTCCAGAACGAATGTCGTAAATAGTTTTTGTCAGGAAAGCTAAATAATGCTCCTTTGTTTGACTTTCTGTTGGATTATTCTGTAGCACACCTGAGTTCCCCAGATGTAAACATCTCAACTGAACAAAAGTCCATTAAAATTAATTTTAGTCATTGGCTGGAATTGAAACCAGAGATCAACCCACTGGAATACCTGCTATACCTTTTTGAGAACAGTCCTGCAGGGGAATCAAAGGTAAATGCATAACATTTTTGTCTTGTACAATCACTGATTTTTACAATGAAATTTCTACATTCATGAATGCATTACTTAAAATTTGTTGATTTTTTAATTTTTTATTTATGTAATAATTTTTTCTTTTTTTTTAGTTTGTAGCACTGATATCAACCTCAGAATCTCCCTACATTTTCCATGATGTGCCATCTGGCAAGAACTACTGTGTTAGTGTTTCTGCCAGTCATCAACAAGTCTTGAAGAACAACAACTTCAACACCACCAAATGTATATTTCTATTAGGTAATGGATATCATTTTATTTTTTATAGTATTCAGAGTGTGTATATCTGGAGAGAGAGATTAATACTTTTATTCAGTGAGGATGCATTGAATTGATCAAAAGTGAGAGTAAAAAATGTATAATGTTACAAAAGATTTCTGTTTCAAATACAGTAAATGCTCTTTTGAGCTTTCGTTTCATCGAAGAATCCTCAAGAAAATATATTACAATTTCCACAAAACTAGAAAGCAGCACTGTTTCTAACATTTATAAAAATGATCAAATAATAATAAGAAATGTTCCTTGAGCAGCAATTATGATTTCTGAAGGATCATGTGACACTAAAGACTGGAGTAATGATGCTGAAAATTCAGCTTTGCATTACAGGAATAAATTACATTTTAAAACAGAAAACGGTTATTTTAAACTGTAATAATTTTACAATATTACTGTTTTACTGTATTTCTGACCAAATAAATGCAGCCTTGGAGAGCATAACTTCAAAAACATAAAAGCAACTTTATTACAACGGTATTTTATGTATGTTAATGTGTATGTTCTTATAGATTCTACTAGAAGCTTTATGCTGGTGTGCATTGTGGCCATACTGCTGATTATTTTTTCAACTGGGATTTTTTTGTCTTTTGGTTGTTTTTACCACATGAAGCATAAAAACAAGAATATCCCAAAACCTTTGGTATGTACTTCAATACTGTTGTTCACAAAGCTTTGTGCATGTCCTAATTTGACTTTACATTACTTGATTTTTTTTAACATTACCCTTCCAAGATGTTTAATATTTTTATATACAGTATACATTTATTATGTGTATATAGGCCTCAAGTCAAACGTAAAAAAATCTGAATTTCAATGCATTAGATACAAAATATCAAATTGTGTGCAAACAAATGTTGCTAGAGCTGTTCTAGGAACTAACTTTGTTTTCTGAGACAATTTTTCTATTATTTTAACTGGTCTCAGAGTCATTTTAATGGATGTATGATTAATAAAAATACAACTGTTCGTTATTAATGTTAGTTAATGCTTTAACTAACGTTATTTAATGGAACCTTATTGTAAAATGATACCAAATAAATAAATGCAATGCATGGTAGAGGTTCACTATCCTTTACAATAATACAGTGTTTGTTTGTCCTTTACAGATTGTTTTTCCAGGATATAAATGGGTCCTAAAACCAACCCTTGAGGAATACCAGCCAATTACAGTGACCCCGCCAAAAACAGCAACGAACACAGACGGCCATTTTTCTTCATGGGAGGAAGACTCCAAGGACGGCTCTCTGTTCTATCAACCAACATCCGTCGCTAATGTCATCCCAACAGAGCAAGCTGAGGAGGCTGATACATCAAATCAGTGTTATAAGTACACACTAGCTAATGATATGAAGGATAGTGAAGAAAATGAAAATGTAATATCTGAAAAGAATGAGGAAAATATGCATCCAGGTAGTGAATCTGGATCTTCCTGTGCTTGTAATTTAAACCATTTGCGATCATCCAAAATACTAGTACAAACAGTTATTATGAACACGTTTGTAAACTCAGAGACGATTAGATATTATGCAGAAGAAACTCTTTCCTGTTCTTCTGGCAATGGCTGTGAAAGAGAAGTGCCTGCTGAAGATGAGGAGGAGGAGGATGGCTTCTTCTTACCTGATTTCTCCTCAGACAGTGGCTATGAACCAAGACAAAAGTATTTATGAACTTTCAAATCTCTACTGTCTAAACCAGGGGTGGGGAACGTTGATCCTGGAGGGCCATTGTCCTGCAGAGTTTAGCTCCAACCCTGAAAAAAAATCCCTACCTGTATCCTGAAGACTACATTTAGCTTGCTCAGGTGTGTTTGATTAGGGTTGGAGCTAAACTCTGCAGGGACACAGGCCCTCCAGGATCAACGTTCCCCACCCCTGATCTAAACTATGAAGGCCCTTAAAGAGGATCTACATATCCTGAATCTACTTCGAAAGGTGGAGTCTGCAACCAAATTCAAGCAAAAAAGTATCCACCTTTCACCAGAGCCATGCAAAACTCTGTGTTAAATTTGGTGCTGCAGATGATTAGAACATCCATAACATCAAGGAATAACACTTGAGAAGATGCTGGTATAGAAACCTAATCTGGGGGTCTGTAATGCCTAGAGAGGACTTTCCGTTAACATTCCCATTCATCTTAATAGCACTTACAGTTTTCTCCTGCATCAGGAACTCTTGGATCTTCCAGATATCATGCTCTATACACGAAAATCTGTTTGACTCGAAAACTGAATTCTGTATGGTAGAATAGAAGGAACTTTGGACCTAAACATTGCTGGTTAATGGCCATCTTGTTGCTGATTGCCCAGTTGAGGTACTATAAGCGGGTCATGTTGAACACATTTTGAACTATGTAAAGTGCGCCTACCTCAGGAATAAGTTTGAGCTGCACATTCTGTCACTGTGATACAACTCATCACATGACTGATCATCTAGGCGATAAATGGCCATTCAGACACTTCGATAACGGACTCCAGGTGCTACATGAAGCAAATTAAGATGCAGTGCAATACCTGATTGACCTGAAATATTGGACAATTGAAATTCTAAGAGTATTCTAGTGTATTCTATGTCATGCAAAATACATACCAAAATGACCATACCATAATTTACACAAACTGGGATCTGAGACAACTACAGTGAAAATCTCTATATATAAAATCTGATGAAAGATGAAAATAAATAGAAAACAACTGCTAAATGGTGGTCACTCCAAAAATTTGATTAATGGAAATATTTTTTTTAAATGTCCTCTCTTTACAGCATCTTTTCACAAGTTCTTAAAAAGAGTGTAATGTAGTGCAGTTCCCACAATTTTTTTCATAGAATTCTTGTTTTTGTTTTTTCCCTTTTAAACGGATTCAAAGATAGTTTGTAAGATAGTTGATAGTTTGTTTGTCTCCTGTTTATAATATTTTTTGTTCTGAATTTTTACAGTATTTGTAAAAGGAATGTTTAGAAATCTAATTCATATTCACTACTGGCACACAAAATATATAAATAATCTTCATGTATCTTTCATGACACAACCGTTTTACTGTGCCGGTTTTATTTTCATGTCATATCCTACCATATGTATGTGAATGTGTTTATGTCCAAACACTTGTTTTCTGTAAAGCACTTTCTAAACATTTTCTATTTTAAAATGGTGCTACAATATCTAGTAAAAGTTTTTTTTTTTATTATCCTGGGTTATATGTATATTGGGGCACAAGTCTGTCTTGTCATTTAAAAATATGACAGCCTGAGAGTGAGAAGGTTTTGTTTACATGAAATGTTACTGACTGTAATGCTGCATAATGCCTTACTGAACGCTGCCTTTAATGGTCCTAAAGACATCGTTTCTTTTATGGTTTAAGAATGATTAACCCCTCCTATAAAAGAGTCGAGAAAAAAGTAAATGCTATACATTTATTTTTATGTATGATTTTGAAGTTGCAAATAAATATTGGAAAACATAAATATGCAATAGTGCCACTATGGAGTACATATCATTTCTTTCTATTCACACATTTGGATGATTTTAAAGATTATTTGCCATTTGTAGACAAAAGTGAGAAATCTCTCGTTATTGTATTCTCTTCCCTTCTTGTCCCTTCTTATTTGTCATCTAGTCAGTCTCCCCCAAACAGAGAAGAGAAAAACCCTTTCCTTCCATCTTCCCCACGTACACGCAGTGATTTGGTGGTGCGAGTGCCTCTTTGAAAGCCTGTCTGTTCTTTGTTGTTTTCCTTTTCCTTCTCTTGTTGTTGGAGTTGAACTTGATGACAGATCACCAGACGCATGTCCTCCTGGAACAAAAATTTGTTGGTCAATGAAAGTAAAAGAAGAGCAAAACTAGATTTTTACAATTTCTATATATAATACATATTTATTGCTAAATATGTGCAATGCATAGCGGAAGTTAACTATCATTTACAATAATACAGTTTATGTTCAATACAGTTTGTCACTGCAGGAACTAAAAGGGTCCTAAGACTAACCCCTAAGGAACTCCAAACAACTGAACTAGCCTAGCAAAAAACAGTAATGAGGACTGTGTTTCTGTGAACTGTGTTTCTGAATTCAAGAAGGATGTCAAAGACGGCTCTCTGTACAATGCATGGTAGATATATATTTTATGAAAAAAATATTAGTACTTCCTGTGCAAAACATAATAGGTGGTTTCTAGGGCATACCACTATACTAACAAAATCCAATTGGCATTACTGGATTAGAAACCAATTACAAGTTACCAACCTGCCAAGAATCAACTTCCTGAGACAGTGCCACTTTGTGTCTGATAGTGTTCAGAAGCTGCTGGTTGAGTGCATCACGTTCTTGTCGGGCCAAAATGATCTCCTCTTCCAAGGCACTATGGGTGATAAGGAAGAAAAGGTTTGGGTTGAACAAAACAATAGACCGTTTCAAGCTACCCTTAGACTATTATGCAAAATATCCCCCATTCATCACACACGTTAGCTTATCACTTTATCTCTGGCATTAAATATGACACACAGAGAACAAAAAGGTATAAATTGAAAAGCCTTTTGATCCAGTTCTCACCTGTAAGTAGGTTTACCAGGACTGTTATGAAATGGTTTCACCTCCTCCCTCAGCTCTTCTAATTCAGTTTCTCTAGACTGTAGCTGATGAAAGAACAAAACATCGCATATCACCTTAGATGAAGATACTCAGTCTATATGCATGCTATTGTGATGTCATCGTATTATTCATCTAACCTCTTTCTGTAACCTCTGAATTTCTTCTTCTTTTTCTTGCAAAATGGCTGAATGGGCCAAAATGGTTTCTTTGGCCTGTTGGAGATCAAAATGAAAACAACCAGTCAGCAGAAATAGAAAGTGTGGTGAAGAGAAAAGCTGGGTGAGGAGAAAAACAAACACTTACTTACATAAAACCCAAAGACTTTTGATAGTCAATATACACTCACCGGCCACTTTATTAGGTACACCTGTTCAAT